TGGCAGTTTCATAGGTTGCAATGAATGTCTTGCTCTTTGCTGGTTCCATCTCGAATATTTTTTGGAGCCCAATTTGTTTGCGTCTTCAGGTGCATTTGACAAAGTAGGGCGTGGAACGTAACCCATTTACGTGAAGCAATAATAGAGTTGTAAAAATTGCAAATAATAAAATCCTAATTGGAGAAAAGGTTGCTCGTCGGAACACCTGAGAGTAGAACGGATCCATGGGTTTGGATGACCGTATGAAAGGAAGGTAGCAGTGACACCAAAATCTGATGGGCAAAATTTTATAGGCAATACGCTTGACGATTAATGAAGAATTTTTCGGTAAGGAGTGGGATGATATAAGGTTTTACAGGGAAAATCGTTGACGGGAAGGTGAAGGCTCTGACAACGAACGAAAGTGCTGGAGGCTGCACTTCTTCTTCGCAGGGGCTGAGAGTACTATGTTATGATGGGAAGATTTTTTTTGGGTGTAGGGAAAGGCAAATGTGGCAAAATGAAATTGCAAAGTGTATGGTACAGCAGAAGGTAGTGGATTGTCAAAAAGGGTAGTGCACCAACGGTCATATTTTTAATGTTAATGTAGAAAAAAGGTGGCTCAAATAGGGGCTTAGTCTCTTTTCCTCATAAACAACAGATGGGAAAGTAATCCTCCTAACAAGTCATCCTCGTCGAGTATGTTAGGTGAAGTGTAATCCTAACATCTTGAAGTATTGCATGAAGAAAAAATCTTCCACAAGCATGCTATGATCGTCAACGTCGAGATTAATCATTGTATTTTTTGCTATTCTCTTGCTTCTTTTCGTTCCCTAAAAAAAAAAAAAAAGTAAAAAAATTTAAGAAGTTGAAAACAAGAATCGAAGAAAAGTTAGAGATAATTTAAATTAATATTAAATAAAATAGTCCTCCACAATGACGTTAAGATTTGTTGATTTTATATTCCGTAAGTGTATGGATTGTAATAATTAATAAAGTGGATCTAAGGGTTTGAATTATCATTCCCACGAGAACTATTATCTAACAGTTAGTTCTCTGAATTCAAACCAGTCACACTCAATTAAGTTAACCAATCATATCTTCATATGAATCAGTATATGCCTTAATCAAAGTATTCAATCATTAAAGAAATCATTAGACGACTGCCACAACCGTAAAAGTGCATCTCTATCCTTTTATTCAAATTCTAGGCTTTAACTACATTGTATAAACATATAATTCAACTCTCGGTGTAACTATTGCTCAGAAATCAATGTATTAGAGACCAAATAATTCAAATCATTAAGATTATAAATGAAAACCTATGTTATAAGAATCGTACCGGACCGACCGGTTCAACCGAAAAAACTAGGAGTTGACCTGTATATTTGTTTGATTATGTATTGAAACTGTTTCATCTAAAATCGCCACTAAACTCGGTAAATCGATCATGATTTTCACAAGTTGAATGGTAAGATCCTAGTTTCAAAACAATTAAAGATTAAAATAAAAGAAAATTACAATTGTTGAAAGTTTAAACTAGAAACTCCCTTTTAGATTTGAGATTGAAGTGTTTAAATATCTTCAAATTTTTTAACTTACTTTGTTCTACTCGAACATGGATTAAGAGTGAAGACCAATATCAATTCCTCTTTATATTATTTTTCATTTTCTCACTGTGAAGTTCCAGTCGTCAAAGTAATGCTTCTCTCTTCTTACATTGCAAACCCTAACTGAATGACCCAAATGTGAAAACTCCTTCTTTTTTTTTTTTTTTAAGGGAAAAATTCATAACTAAGAGGCTCCGTATAACCCATTTCAAAATTAAGAAAAAAGGTTTCAAATTTCAAAAATCAGATATTTATTAAAATTTATCCATGATTTAATTAATTAATTATATATTTTATTAATTAAATATATTAAGGTCACGGATCTATATAATTTTGTCAAAAATTAATGATTTAATTAGTTACAAATTATTTTATGGTCACAATTCGAAAATTTTATATATCACAATTTGTTCATCGATCACAAATCAAAAATTTATAAGTCATAATTTATTTATCGATCACTAATAATAAATATTATAAGTCATAATTTATTAATCAATCACAAATTATCAAATTATCGATTACAAATTAACTATTACAAATTAACAAGTTTTTAGATAACACATTATTTCTTGGTCATAATCTATCTTTTTTAATTGGTCACATATCATTTATTGGTCACAGATTGACCAATTTAATGGTCATATTCAATCAAATAATTTGTAACCACCACCAACACTTACAATCACCATCTTCCTTATGTCTCTAGTACCACCATCACCATCGTTGTCGCCAGAACCACCACCACCACCACCTCAAACAAATCAACCCATGGTAGAAAACACCACCACATCGCCATCCACGACGACCACACAACTCAAAAATGCAAGAACCAACCAAAAAAATGTCATCATATAACCAGTCTTGGACTTCGCAGCAACCGTAATGCTACGCCACTACCACCACCACCACCAACTCACCGAACTACCAACAACACCACCACCTCGCCGTTGCAACCAACATCACAACCACCACCAACCAAATACCAAACACAAAAAATCGGATAAAAAATCCAGAGAAGGGATGAAGATAGTGGCTAGGAACTTGATGCTAGAAGAACCTACCACCGAATCGCCGTCAAACTCCACCACCACTAGAGCTACCCACCACCTTACCACAATTGGTCAGCGGCACCACACACCACCGGGTCGCCACACCACCACACCTTTACACAACACTGCAACCACATAACACCACTATTCCCACAGTACTGCACAACTACAACGCACACAGCATCGTATCGCACCATCACACAGCACCACATCAACTATTGAACAAATCAAAATCAGGGAAAAATATTAGTGCTTTCAACTGCACCATACAACATCATCATCGCAGTGGAGTGAAGTAGGTATTTTCCACCGATGGTGGTTATCGGTGATAGTATTGGGGCGTCGACAGATAATAGAGATGGTGAGGAGTGAAAAGTGAGAGGTGATGTAGAAAGAAAAGGCTATGGAAATATTTAGGTTTGGAAGTGAGATATGTTGGATGTGGGGTATGTTAATAAATTTAATTTTATTATTAATGTTTATAATTTCAATTATATCTGATTTTTGAAAAAAAAAAATTATTCTTAATTATAAATTATGATCTTGAAAACTCTTTGTTCTTGTAATTTTCAACTCTTTTAATATATTATATTAAAGGTTGGCCCATAACTTTTCTTTTCATATTTTCTTTAACAATTCTTTTGTATTCTTTTAAATGTCTTTGTTAACTATGATTGGTACGTGTAGAATAAATTAAATATTATTATTATATTAATTTATTTCTAATAATAATAAAAAATCCAGTATATATAATGGATCCCCTCAAGCTTCCAATTGCTGGACTAAAATATCTATTTATAGAACAAGATTTAGGTCAAAATCCTTATTTTTCAATTAGTTTCCGCAATGAGTTTGAGAAGAAAATAAATAATTCCCTTTTCAATTTGACTTAATTGCCCATGTAATTGGTTCTTCAATTTCTAATCTTTACAATTAAGTAATTTTCATCTCGAAATCACCAATAGTTGACCAGATTCATGTTTTTAAAGTTTGTAATTTAGTCTCAAAACTTATTAAATGTTGAATTTAACTTCCAAAATTTTTAAATTTTTTATCGAATGCTCTAATAATACTTCCAATTAATCAATTGCAATACAGTTAATTTTTAATTGCACTGAATCAATTCTAATTAAGCTTCAATGGTTAATTTCACACCAATTACATACAAGTTGGGATTTTTTTTAAATTAATATAATTTACACAAATTAAATAAATAACTGCTCAATTTACATATGCATAAAATGCACTTATCAAGTAAAAATATGCTGGCAGAATATTTATGGTTAACGTCGAGCTCTGGAACCAGTAATGTATGTTTTAGCGATAACTATTTTAAGCACATAAAAAGTAACTTCTTGTTAGTATGGTATGATTATTATATTAGATAAGCCACAGTTTGGTTTAAATGAAAAGAAAATTTTTAATAAAATTTGAAAAAAAGTCAATAAAATATGCGATCGAAAAGTTATATGTCCCATAAAATATATGGTTAATATTAATTTTTTATTTTGACTTTAATCCAAATGTTTTGTTGAACCAACCACTCTTATTTTTATGAGAAACGTAACATCTTTGAGTAAGATTATATATTTAGCTCTTGTTTGAGTCAGATTATTTTCATAAGAATGCATTTATGAATCGTGTATTGATGAGATGCGTGGTTAAAAAATAAGAAAATTTTTTGAATTTGCGTATAATATTATCTTATTGAAAAATTACGGTTGAAATGATATCAAATCACCATTTAAAAGTGTATTTTTTGAAGAATGTGAGTTAAATATGACCTTAATAATTTATTCGAAAGTAAACTTTTCTCGTAAACTTGTAAATTTATGAAACTTATCATAGTATAATATTTCTCTTACATTAAGGGCTTATTTGATTGGCCACATTTTTCATTGAATTTTCCACCAAAATGTAGTGTTTGATTGCAATATTTTCTAGGAAATTCCATTTCCATATTTTCCCCCACACATGCATTTTCCTTGAAATGTCCAGCTTTATTATTTCATTTTATTTTAAATTTTGAGCAATGAGAACAAAATTTATCAATAACTATAAATAAATAAATAAAAATCCCTTTAATTGACAATTTTTATGAAAAACAAAATTAATCGATCATCAAATGATCCAAAATTTCAATATTTTTCAGATGAAAAATTATACCAATAAAAGATATTTAATTGACAATTTTCAAGAAAAATAAATTTTAGGCAATTCAATTTTTTGAAATTCGTTCTCTTTCCACCCAAATTCCATCATTGCAATCAAACGGACCTTAATATTTAACCACAAACTATAAAACTTAGCTTAACCCCTACGTTTTCTCTCTCATTTTTCTTAATTATCAAATTTGTCCACTAGTGTAGTCTTCATCAGCAAACGAAACACGCTCCTAATTACTCAAGTGTTCATGGTCAACTCATCCCCTTATCTCCAATAATATCTATATATTACCATCTCTGCTTCGGCAAATTTCATTCCTGAGTAAAAACAAATCATATTAAGTCATCTTACAGTGCTCCAAGTACGAATTCTCCACTTTAGTTTTCTTTCGGTTTTTTTTATTTTTTTATTGTATATGATTGCATTTTTATTTTAAATTGATGGTGATAATTGAATTAATATTTCAGTTTAATGGCGGAATTCACCGGGCATCCATTATACAGCTGCAGAAAGTGCCGGAATCCGGTTGCACTGGCCGATGATCTTCTTTCTAAAGCCTTTAAGGTGATTTTTAAAAATCAGTATGGCCTTCTTTGTTAAACTATTATTCTCTAATCTATCATCAATTTGTCAACAAAACAACTATAGTATTAAGGGATGTCGATAATGTGGGCCAGGGGGCCCGGTTGTTAATACTTCCCCATTCCCTGCCCCAATCCCGTGCGGGGAATTTCGTGAGACGGGGTGGGATGGGATGAGACTCAAAATATCCTATAGTAAAATCTTGATAGATGAATATTCGATAAATTAATAATCTCACTTAAATAATACACCTTGCGTCCTATTTATATAGGCTAACTTTCATTGTTTTCTTGTTCCATTTATATAATCTTGTTTCTTTATTGAGAATGTATTTGTTATGTTTGTTTACTAATATATACCCTTATTTAATTTCCTTACTTATAACGAATTGGAAACATGGACAAAAACACATTTAATCACCATTATTTACTACTAGGAATTGATAATTAAATAAGGGTAAATTAGGAAAACTCTTTTCAAAAATTATTTTTCAATAACATTAAATAAAATTTCTTAATCTATGTGAAAAACAAAATCAGTCTATATAAATGAAACGAAAGGAGTAAAATTCTTCGATCCCTCTTTAAGATCTGACGAATATATAAAATAATAACTATTTAACTTCATAAAAGTTCATACAAATACAAATTAATAAACTTTTAATTTGGCAACATTTTTTTTTTCTATTTGCCCTTTTTTTTTTTCCTTTGGCAAATATGCATCTAAAGACTTTTGATTGAACCCACTGTTGCAAATCTTTTAAGTAGAAGAGGATGTTCATTTTTATATTGATACAATGCTCTCCTCTTCTCACAAGTCAATGTAGATTTTTTTTTTAATTCATTTTAAATGAGATGTCATGTTAGAAAAATGTATGAAACTATAAAATTTATGATTGTGGAAATTATGTTCCATTGAATTTCACAACAGTCAACCTTTTTTTTTTTTTTTTTTTCAATTTGCTATATTTATAATAAAATAAAAGTTATAAAATATAAAAATACTATGTAAATTAATAAATATTCATTTATTGATAAATTAATAATCCCTCAAAATTGATAATTTTTTTCCGATCCAGACATTATTATTTTATAGAGGTTTTACTGTATTTTCCATGTTCTTTGCTTATTTATCTTCTTATTTTTATCGGTGATCCTCTTTGATAAAGAAATACTAAGCATTGGACCTGACGTAAATAAGTATATTAATAGTTTAATAACTAAAAATTTTAATATGAAAACATATAAATTCAATTGATGTTGAATTCGGTTATCATTACATATCTATTTAATTATTATTAGCATTTGGATCGAACTTTAACTTTTGTGGCGTTCTAAACTTTAGTTGATGGATTTGGTCGACTTCGAAATAATATATTATTACTTGTCCTCCACGTGATAATGATTTTGTTAAAATTGATTTATTAATAAAACACAAAAAATTAACAAAGAAAAACGTCAACATTGTTTGCGCCTAGTAGGATCTGTTCAGTAGTGATTATGAAAATTGATTTTTTGATAATTAGAGAAAATAGTGGATCCCACCTATAAATGAAGAAGTAAAAAATGATTACTGAAATAATGAAATAATAGTTAAAAATTGATTTTTTGGGGTGAAAAATTGCTACCAAATGGGGGCTATATCTTCATTCACTATCCAAAGAAATACAATTTGACAAACAAAAATAAAGCAAAAGGAGTAACTAGTCCTCTTTCTTTTGAGGGCTTATGAGTTTCAACATCGCTTTTTAAGTGAAGAACAATTGTTGAGAGACAATAAACCATGGAGTTAGAGGATAGATCTCAATAAACGAGCTACTTATCTAGGTAACTTTTCTTCCTGATCTTTAGTTATGAATTCTTGATATTGTTTATGACACATTTGATATGAAAGATTAGATGATACTAGATGATATTAAGTAAATAAATAAATAAAATGCCAAACATGCTATCAATATTTACAACGATGTTAAAGGAAATTTTTACATGAGCTAAACCCATTCCTTCAATTGAATAGAATTTGGTACACTTAAATTAATATTAATTCCCAATTTGTTGGGGATTAAAATCAGATTTTTAGCTAATTTTGATAAAAATTGATGAAATGTATTATTGAAAAGTTTTAGATCTCATGAAATATATGGTTAAAATTAATTGTTAATTTTGATAAAAATTTAGATTTAATTTTTACCAAGCAAGGATAAAATCTCTTCGTTAAATCTCCTTTCAAATAATACATTTAAGAACGAAAACCCCAAGAGAAAAAAATAAATAAATAAAAGAAAGAAAGAAAGAAAGAATGAAAGAAAGGAGGGAAAAACTAAATCTTCTTAGTTATATTGTTAAGGGGTGCTTAGGTAGTTGATTAAGAATTTGGTACTTAATCCTCATTTCTTAATTTCCTTTAATAAAATATTGATATCCCATATGTACTTTTGACTTGTATGTTGAATTGTTAGGCAAAATCTGGGGCAGCCTATATGTTTTCTCATGCAATGAACATTGTTGTGGGGGCAAAGGAGGATAGGGAACTCATCACCGGTCATTTCACCATTGCTAAAATTTACTGCAGCAAATGTGGGGAGGAAATGGGTTGGAATTATGTCAGAGCTTATGATGTAAGGCAAAAGTACAAGGAAGGAAATTACATATTGGAGAAGGCTAAAATCCTGAAGGAGTATTGAAACTATGTGAAGACTGAGAAAAATATATCAATTTATCAATAATGTGACTTAAGTTAATGGTTTCTTCTATATAAAAGACTTAAACTGGTTGGCATGTTTATTTTTAATACATATGATTGTGCTGCAATAAAGACTCCTGGTAGTTTATTTTAAATGTAACAAAGATAATTTTATGGGACAATGCTACAATTATCTACATATTTTTACTGAATGTTTTTTACCTACACTCACAATAGGAGGGTGGGTCCCACAAGCCGAAATTTTTAAATGCATGCGGAGCCCGCATGCATATGAGAGTAGGACACCAATTCGATAACCCATGTTCGGTACATATATGTTTATCCTAATTTATGACTCTGTTGTGCCAATTGTAAAGTATATGAGAAATAATAAGCTTCACATGATATATTGTGTCCATTAAAATGTATCAAAATCAGCAAGTGGCCCACCTCTAAATTACACGCTTTTATCGGTTTTGTTTTTAATCTCGTCATCTTCTTCTTCCCTCTCATTCTTTTTTCTTTTTTCTTTTTTCCTTTTTTTTTGGGGGGCCGAGGGGGGGGGGGGGGGGGG